TAGCCCTCGATTCTCTCGGCAAGACGGTACGGGTCATTTTCGCGTGTCTATGGTATCGGAATTTGTACTCACCGGAGCCGGGAGCAATTTGGAGCCACGGCGCATAGTGCCGGCAGGCGACTGTTACGAGCGGCGAAAGGCGAAACGACGTCAATCGCGAAGACACACGGTAATTGATACGCTCACACGATCGCCCGTCACTTCCAACGGCACTCCCGACCAAAATTCGCACCCGTTATTCACTTTCGACGGGCAAAATCCGCGATTAATCCGCGGAGCGACGTGCTCCGTGCGTTCCGAACCGGTCGCGCTACCGAGAGTGTCATGGCGGCGTTGGCGGCTGGCAGTGGCCGCTGCGTGCTGCGCGCTGGCGACTGGTCGTGCGCGCGCCGCCTATACGATACTGAAACAATTTGAAAAACGAATTATTCAAATCTGTAACTTTTTGGCACTTCTCGGAGAGCCACGATGATTAGCGATATTTTATTTGACACTTTTATGAAAATTCATGAGATTTTATATGTACAAAATATGCTAAAACGGCGAATAGATTTCTAGTTCAAATTTCGAAGTGGCGATTCATCGCGTCGTAAAATAAGAGGTGAACTACTGCCGTGGTCAAAAGAATAGTGCGATACTACGTATAGCATCATAACGTTTATAGATAAATTTTAAATTATTTTTGTGAAAAAAGAGTTATACTTACCTCCGTTTTTATATCTATATTGCGTTATGAATTTACGGTGGAACGCAAAGTCCTGAAAAAAATGTGTCAAAATTTGAAAACTCGTATATTGCCCCGAAAAGTAAAAATCCCAAAATTTAAAAAACGTGACAATTACTACGTTTACGCGAGCGTTAAGGCCATTGCACGTAACAAAGTTTTAGTCATAATCGTAAGGCCGTAAGAAAATAGACCAATCACACTCGATTATTCTTCGAGATCGAGGAGAATAATCGACTGTGATTGGTCTATTTTCTTACGGTCTTTCGATTATGATTAAAACTTTGTTACGTGCACAATGGCCTTTACTTCTATAGTAACTTACGATAATTCACTCGTTTACGCGGAGTAAATTATCGCGATGTAACAAAAACTGCAATTTACACAGTCGATCTCATATACAAGCTCAGTCTGTTTGGAATAAGGCTGCAATCTGTCTTTCCCTTTCTTAATTACAATCTAATTTCTTCGGGGCCGTTAGAAATGTCTTAAATTTGACACCCCTCATTGTACGGTCAATATTTAGCACTGAGGCCTTATTCAACATACGGTATCGTTATAAAATTAACAGAATCTCGACGCACTTGCGTGTCTGCACTCGCATCAACCGAATTATTCACTTTTTTTAGCTCGCCCAGTTTGAATAGGTATGGCACGGTACGGATCTAGTGGAGAAAATGAGCAGTTTAATTTTCTTCACAATTTACACTTACGACTCTCACAATTTTACAATTTTATTCTTTTGACGCACCTAATAACATGTAAGTTTTTACGATTTACCTCCGATCCGATATGTTTCCCGCTTTTACATTCGACATATTCATATTGACATATTCGTTTCCAGCGTGGCGTTCGCACGATGTAGCTTGGACACGTCTGGCGACGCATGATGTATTGTTGCGTATTTAATTATAAGTATAATGGGCGCGTTCAGCAGACACAACTGTTGCACAACTGTTGAGTTCGTCTTATCATCACACTGCGTTGATTGGTTGGTTCTAAAAGTAAGAGCCAATCACGTTCGATTGCTACTGAGTGACTTGGTCTGCTGAACGCGACCAATATCTCACTTGAGAAGGACTAAATTGTAGTCGAAACGTTGTAAGTCAAAATAAATTGAAAATAGTTAGAAGTTTAATGATTTTTTTGGCTCGTATTCTCAGCTCATCTTTATCATAAATGCGCGCACTTAGCACATATAAATTTACGTTACATATACTATAGAATCTCAAAAATAAATCCACGCATTTATTTCGATAAAAGTGAGCTGAGAATACGAGCCCTTGTCTCTATTAAATTTAAAACGCATGTACATGATGAAAAGATTGAAAATTTTATTACAAATGATAAAATATAGTACAGTTTTGTATGTGCTTCATTGATACAATTATTTTTATTCACTAAATTAAAGAGTACTTAAGATTTTAGCACCGCCAATGCCTCTGTGTATTTTAAACCTTCCAAAATATAAGCTAAATTCTCGACTGATGCATCTTCATCCTCTTCTGCCCATATCTCAAGCATAGTCTTACATTGTTCATACGGCGTTGTTTTGCTTTGGAAAAAAGCAATCTAAAATGCATATCATGTATTAAAATCCCATAATTATGAATAGTATTAGTGTTATAATAAGAAAAGCTTGATAATTTATATACCTCGTCATTTGTATAACCAAATTTCGTCGCCAATTTTTTCCAATCGTTTTTCAGGCTATCTGATAATTTTGCCACCATTTCCGGTGTGACTTTATTCAATTTTCTTGCTTTCACGTCGGCGCTTTCGGCATCGACCTGTTCGCTTTCCTGTTTTAAAACGTCTTCGTTAAATTCTTGATCGGTAGATTCCGACGGCGGTGTTTCCTCGGTTTCCAATTTCACATCGGACTGAGTCTGCTGTGAGACACAGTAAAAAAAAATTAAGAAATGTACAAAGATTAAGCATATTCACACAGAAAGCTAATGAACATTAGATACTCACTGGACGATCCTTGGCAATTTTCTTAATCATTGTCTCAAGATACTCAGGCAATTTATTTATAGGATAATTGCCATGAACAAAGAAGTGCGGGCTTCGTCTCGCTAACAGTCTTAACGCTCTCCAACCAAAGTTACCGTCGTTCACCTTCCTGTAAGATTATCGCATTATTATTAATAACTATAATGAGGAATAATGTGCGTGTCTTTATAAGAGAGCAGACGATATAATCGGCCGATCCCGATCTTTATCGCATGTATTATTTCGGTTTATAAGGGGATTGATTGGGAAATTGAAGGTTGTGAATAAAGGAGAAGGAGAATGAGATGGTTACATAATTTATGAGATGAATTACAATCCGTTTTCCAGGAACAATAGACTAATACATTAATAATCACAACGAAAGATTTCACAAACAATAACGCTTACTTATACTTATCATCGACCATCGCAGCAGGATCCAATTCCATAATAGCGTCTTCAAAATACGTTTCTAAGGATGGAAGAAAATCTCTATCCTTAGATTTGCATGCTTCGAGATTATTTGGACATAGATTCCATAATTTAGTGAGTTCTGGGCTATTAAAAAATAATAAAATTTAATTATTCAATCTTATACGTAAATATTAATTTATTTTTTTCATTTGTAAAAGATATTTACTTTCCCATATGATATTTTCCAACCGCTTGCGCGTCCCTAATTACATCACCGATACGTCGTCTCGATCTCCTCGGTTTTCGTGGCTCCTCGTCAGTAACATCCGATGTCGGTCGTTTAAACGGCGGGCAACCCTCATTTTTCCATGCATTCCAATGCTCCTCGCGTTTCAAGATGTTCTTCACGGTCTCCGCAAACGTGGGGCCATCGGGCGGTGTTTCGGTCAGTAGAGTATAAACTTGGTCAGTAGTGGTCTTCACCCATTCCACTTGATCCGGCTTCAGTTCGTGTGTCTCACTTAAAAGTAACAAACATCATAGTGATTCGATAACATACATATCACAAGACATTTAATTTAAGAAAAGCAGACCTTGTCTCATAGCCACTGGCAAGGAAGCTTTGAAAAACAAACATTTTTATAACTATTCAGAGGTGTTTCACTAATTGCCGAATAATTTATTAATTCAAAGGTATGAGGCTTGTGAATTCACTGTAAAATATTCATCGTATTGCATTAATATGGAGAATACTTACGCCTTGAATTTTACAGTGCTATTCAGATACTGGAAAAGAATGAGAAATTGCAGCAATACATATCGCCTGAAATTGGAATCTGACAGCTGCAACTCCAATAATTTTTGATTGGTCAAATATTTTGCAAAATAGTGCGTTTCTTTGTAAGGGCCTTCCATAGAAGTATCCATCTTGATGCATGTTGTAGGGTAACTACGTTGCTCCTCCAATTTAAAGGAAGCAAATGCTGACAGCACATTAGATGCATGCTATAAAAAAGATTTTTTTTAGTAAATCTGTAAAATAAATTAATATTATTAGGTCTGTTTGTTTTTGCTGCACTTCTGAACTGCAACATAGTACAAGTTAGAATGAAACAAATATATTTTCTTTCATTCTAACTTATTGCACTAGTAGAAGTGCAGCGAAAACAAACAGGCCTATGGTTTAAAGAAAATTAAAACTTACAGCTGAAAACACCTTCCAGTGTATTTTATTATAACACTGATTCGGATTTCTGAAGAAGTCTTGTAGAGCCCAAAACTTTCTGTACAAATTATAATCAATTGGTATCTTGTTTTCTGACTTGTCGTCGTCCTTCGTTATCTGCTCCAAGTTGTCTTCTTCTGCTTTTTCCAAGCCAAATTCCGTGTGATTTTCCAGGTTGAATTCGCTAACGATATTCAAGCCGGATCTCTCGGAGAAAGGAAAGAACTTTGCGAGAAACAGTAGAATTCTGCCACAAAATACCGTTTGTTGCGAACGCGACAATCTTCTCAGTAAGTCATTACACATTCTCAATAAGTTATTCTTGCAGGCAGCAAAAAACAGATCTTCCTTCCACACGGTGACGTTGTTCTCCACGAAGGTAAACAACTGTTCGCACCTGTCCAGCGTCATCGAGTCGAAGATATCGCCCAGTAGCATCACTGGCATACTCGCCGTCGCGAGATCCTTCCTGCATAGCTCTATACAGAACGTGATGTACAATTCGAGGGAGCGCACGTTACCCGAAGCGTTTTCCGTCAGTACGGCCAGCAACGAGTCACGCAGCGCCTGATCGATCGCCACTTTTCTGTCGCTGTCATTCGCACAACGTTCGACGCACTTCTTTTGAAACAACGAGACGTCCGACAGCTTGAAATGCTGCTGCAGATAATCCTAAAGGAGAAATAAGATCCATTGTAAATGCACGTCCAAGCAAGAATTATTCATGAATAAAGTTAATCAAGTTAATGCTTATTTACTCCAAACGTTATACTTACGCTATAGTCCTTCCTCAACACTTCGAACATCGCCATGATTTTTTATAGCCGTGTTATCACAGGTTCTATTATTTTTATTGAAAATTATTTTTGACTATCCGGTTTAGGCATTTTCGTCTTTCTTGACAGCAAAGAGGTTAAGTTACGAATCCCAGGCACGATTTTTGTGCCACAGTTGGTACTACTGGGAGCCTCCGCCATATTGATGACGTATGACCTTCTCCTTCCATTTTCAGAAGGTGGCTGACCTGACACGGAACGGATCACGGATCGGCTCCGGAACGAGTGGCGTCGCGGCTCAATTAATTGGTACGTATGTACAACAGATATTAACTTGCGTGCATTACGTTAACTACAGCATCTATCGCGTAGTATAGATTTAGAGCTCGGGTGTAGATATTTCTCGAAAATACATATTCCGCGGTACTTGTACGACCGAAGACGCGTCGCGCGATCAATCGCGAAAGTGACGTTCGTATTTCTCAATATCGCGAATATCGCGGATAGCTGTTAAAAACATTAATACGCCTATTGCTAGAATACAAAATAACGATCATAATAATAGACGGTCTTATAGTATTTGATTTTTGAAGTTCGGAAAATTCATGATCGCGAAATTGAGAGCGGGACCGCGTAGCGACGCCGCGCGCCGCACCGTGGCCGTGGCGCTTTCAGCGCACAAAGTTGCCCGCGCGGGAACGAAGCCTCCGCCATATTGATGACGTATGACCTTCTCCTTCCATTTCCAGAAGGCGGCTGACACGGAACGGATCGGCTCCGGACCGAGTGGCGTCGCGGCTCATTTAATTGGTACGTACAACAGATATTAACCTTGCGTGCGTTACATTAACTACAGCATCTATCGCGTAGTATCGATTTAGAGCTCGGGTATTGATATTTCTTGAAAATACGTATTCCGCGGTACTTGTACGACCGAAGGCGCGTTGCGCGAGCAATCGCGAAAGTGACGGTCGCATTTTCGAGTGTCGCGAATATCGTGGATAAAATATTAATACGCTAGATTCGTTAGAAAACATGCAAAATAACAATCGTAATAATAGGCGAGTTTATAACATATGATTTTCGAAGTTCGGAAAGTTCGTGAGCGCGAAGTTGAGAGTGGGACGCGTATAGCGACGCCGTGCGTCGCGGCGCTTTCGGCGCGAGTTGACCCCGCGCGAGAGACAAAACGCCTTCGCCATATTAATTACGTTCTCCTTTTCCAGGATGCGCCGAATACGACATGGAGACGGATCAGTTCCGGAACGAGTGGCACGACTTATTTAATCAGTAAGTATGTAACATGCATTAACTTTGCATTTCAGATTCATTGCAATAGCTATCGCGAAGTATAGATTCGGCGCACGGAAATTAGTATGATAATCCGTTCGAACGCGTATTTCGCGAAAGCCTTGTTCGGCCTATTGTAAGATCTATCGCGCGAATCAATCTAGTAACGCGTCGCTCTTGGCATCCAAAAAACTTTATATGCCATCTTACACAGATATACATTTCATTGCATTTTTATTCGAAATATCGATGATATCGAACGTGCCATAATTTCTTTTATATTTATTTCTCCGCTGTTGCAATATAATTAAGTACGCGTCGCGTACTTAATATCGAGAGTATCACACAAGATATAGCAAAGCCGCACGATCATTGTATTCTAGTGATTACTGGTAATCGCGTTTAATTGTAATAAATATTTTGTTTGTTTTAGGAAACAGGTGTGAGTGCCACGAAGAGATAACAATGCGGAAAAAAAAGAACCGAAACTAAGGAAGCGAGGACCAAATGTGACAGATCGCGAGGTGAGCATTTTATAATTTGTTATCTTTTATTAATAATTGTTATACTGATATAAATAAATATTTATTTGCGCAGTATCGTTTTTAGATCACTTTATAATATACACACATACATATATATATATATATATATATATATATATAGCTTGCTTGTACCAATTTATAAAATTTTTAATTTCGGACGAATATATATCGAGAAGAAATTGAGACACATGCGTAAAATAAAAAATAAAAAAATAACTTTTGCACGAAAGTACTATTTTATTCGTAATTTCAATAAATTTTTAATAAAAAAATAACATCTTATAATAAAAATGCTTTTTTTAAATAACTTGTATAAAAGATAAAAAAAATATCTAATTCTGATATAATCTAAACTATTATAAATTTTAATTATTTAAAAATAGAAATATATATTGACAAGTAATATTTTATATAAATTTGTTGATATTACTCATTTTACAAATAATTTATTAAATTTTATTTTATTTTTATTAGACAATGTATTAAACATGCAATATACTGTATATAGTGTATTGCATGTTTAATACAACGTCAAATAAAAATAAAATATTTTAGATTTTATTTTAGATTTTAAGATTTTTTAAATATGTAATAAATTATTTATGACATGATTATAATATCAACAAATATATATAAAATATTACTTGTTAATATATATTTCTATTTTTAAATAATTTTTAAATAATTAAAATTTATAATAGTTTAAATTAAAAAAAGCAGTTATTAAGATGTTATTCTTTTATTAAAAATTTATTGAAATTACAAATAAAACTTGTGTGCAAAAGTGATTTCTTTATTTTTATTTTAAGCATGTTTCTTTTAATCTCTTTACTCTCTATTCGTCCGAAATCAAATATTTCATAAATTAGTGCAAGCAAGCAATATACTATATACTATATATAGTAGTATATATAGCAATATACTATATAGGTATCTACAAATATTTTTTGTATATGTGTATATAAAATAAGTATTATCTTTTTCTTATAACAAGAAATCCATATTTATTTTAGATATTATTTTTATTTAAATATTTTCGTATGTTACAGATCAATTTTGTGTATAACTCCTCTGCTGTGTGAGTAAAGAAAAGGGTTCAGATGAAAAAACCCGGGAGGAGACTGAGGAGGCCTAGGAAAGGTATCGGGCACCGTTGGAGTTACATTGCGGTAAGCATTATTGCTTATTTGTACTAAAATTAGTCGTTTGTCGTTTTGTTTTTGATGATTTAAAAATAATAATAGAGAAAAAAATTAATCTAAAAATTTATAAAAATTTATTCTTGTGCAAATTCTTTTCGAAAAATGTATAATTATTTTAATAGATATCTAATGTGTAAAAAGCTGTTAAGAAATTTTATGTATGTAAGAATTATCTTTTAAATTATTAATTATATTTTGAGCGTTTTAATTTGAATTTTATGTTTGTATATTACAGAATCATCGTGGCGCTGATTATACGTAGCTGACAACTCCACTGTCGATTGGTGAGTGACAAAAAGGATTATTAATGAGATAACGGATCTATGAAAATTGTATGAGATATACATATTTCCGCATCATTATAATTGTATTAAAAATAAATATAGAATCTCATAGATCCGTTATCTTAAAATGGATGAGCTATAAAGAATTATGACAAATATTTCATCTCAGACTCGCTATTTAATTTGGTATGCTAATGTGCTTGAGGCTACATTCGCACAGGTACACAGAGAAAGGATACAATAAATATAAATTAACGGATCCTTATTTTATTTGTCTGAATTCTATTGTTTAGGAAAAAAACTTTATATTCTTTTAAGAGTTAAACATTCAATATATATATTATTTTTAATATATTTGAAATAAGTAGTTCAATAAACTTTATAACGATAAAACTTTAAAATGGGTCTTTATTTTAATTCTATTAATAATAATATTAATAGAATAAAAATATATAAGGACCCGTTTTAAAGTGCAAAAGTTTCAACGTTTTAAAGTTATTGTGAAGCTATACTTATTTTAATATATTAAAAATAATATATAGATATATATTAAATATTTTAACTTAAAAGAATGTAAAGTTTTTTTTCCTATACAATAGAATTCAGACAACAAAAATAAAATAATTATATCTATATTTAGAGTTGTGTCTTAATAAAGATAAATAGTCCCATAGATATTAGAAAAAATTATGGAGACATTTTTATTTGTGTAAATGTACATATATGCACACATATATATATATATATATATATATATGTGTGTGTGTGTGTGTGTGTGTGTGTGTGTGTGTGTGTATGTGTGTGTGTGTGTGTTTCACTCCGTTCTGTCTGCTTTCAATTTTGTTCTGTCTTTATGTTTATTCTTTTTTCGCAGTCTCTGAATATGCTTCTTCAGTTTACCTGTATTTTTCAATTCTTCATACTGTGAGACCAAATCCAAGACTTTCTTCTCAGCTGCAAAAGACAAATAAGATAATTAAGATAAAATAAAACAATATAATATCAATCAGTATTATGTTAACGATAAGCTAAACTTACATTTTTTCTTGAAGATGGGCTTCTCTCCTCGTTTAACAGATTCTAGTAGCTCTTCCTTTTCTTGCCGCTTCTTTTCTGCTTTTTCTTTCCTTTTCTTTTCCTCCCTTATCTGATTTTCAAGCCTCTGAATGAGATATTTTATTTTCTTTATAGCTTTTAGATCTGTCGTTTCTTTCAATTCTTTTTGTAAAGTTTTGAGGTCGTTTTCCCGTAACTTGTTAATAAATGCATAAGAATGTCTGAAGACCTTCTCATCAAACGTACCACATAAACTATCAAATCTAGGATCCCGAGATACAACTTTTTTGACTCGAGTTAACTCTTTATATCTGGGAACTGGCTTTTTAGCAGAAATCTCTCGTGGCCTATTCTTATTTTCCCGTTTAAACTCTATTTTCTCAGTTTTTTTCTTACTTTTTTTTCCAAATATCGTCTCATTATATACCTTGGTACCTAATTTCTCCTTTAATTTCTGTAAATCCTCAAAACTCATATGTTTTAATTCTTCTCGTACTTGTTCCTAAAACATAAACAATTCAGAGCATGTTACCACCCACGAATATATAAACTTTTCTTGTAATAATAGTGCTGTTAATTAAAATTAACCTAAATAAAAGCATTTAATAATATGTAGTAAAAATAAATAGTAAAATTGAAGAAAAACTTACATGATCTTTATCGTCTGTAAGTAAAGACGCTTCCTCATCATTCATGTTGAGGCCTAAGATGAATAATGGAATACAAATTTATGAATCTCTGGAACAAAATACAATTTTTTTTTATTTAGTGTTTAATGTGACGTCAACTCTGTGTTTAGGTTTTTTGACACTTAACAAAATGCAATACTACATTTTTAGGTTAGGATTTACAGTTTGTTCATGTACTTAAGAAAACAACAAGAAGATTAGGAAAAATATATTTGTATAAATACTATAAATTATACTCACATCTCCACTAGTACTCTATTGATCATACGAGTGCTTAAAAAGTTAAATCACACATTATAAATTTTATTTGTACGCAGAGTTTACACAAATCACAGATCAGACAACAGAGCAGAATGAGCGATGTTTCTCGATTAATCGAAATAACGATAATCGATAATTTGCCTTTTGATTAATCAATATTTGATTTTTCTCTCAACATCGACAGATCGACACACTGACTTTTTCCTTTTAATTAAATATAATTTAATTAATATCATATATTTATTAATGTGACTTATAGCTGCAGATTATATATTAGTTGAACTAATTCTTTTTTTAATAAATAAGTGTTAAAGAAAGTGACAGAACAAAAATAATTAAGGAACATATGTGGTTACCTATCGGGGATACATTATACATATCGCTTTATGTGTTATATATCACTTTATCACATTGCACATTTTATGCATATCACTGCACTGGCGTTAAATGTATACATGAATCTATTGCGATCGGAGTAAAGTATCCCTCACCGAATCGGGAGAGAGAGGGATATGACAATGGGAGGGATATTAATATTATTGCTTAATATTGGTAATGTTATTGAAATTAATATGTTGTATTAGGGGAGATCAGTTTTTCAGTTTCTGATTTTTAATAAAAGAAACTTTTCAGAATAACCAATAGAAGTTGGCTATTTCGATACTTAATGGTCGGTTAGAAGTTAACAGATGTTGGAAATAGTGACTCCAAGTCGCTCGATTCTTATATATTTTATTGGTTAGTATTGTGATTAATGATATTAAACGTTGCATGAGTGTTATGACAAATTAGAACACATAATAAAAATTAATGAATATAGCACTGCGACATAATTCTAACTAAATTTAATATCTTCAAATCAAACCAGTAGTTTGCCGAGACAACCTTTATATTGTATTAACTAATCAATACTATTGTAACTATTTTAACATACTGAGTTTACTGTTAACTTTTATCATCGTCCATCACTACTCGCAGTGTTGTAAAATAGGAGAGTATAGTTGAAAGATACTGTAACATACAACAAAGTAAGTTTTTGATAATACATAAAAATGTATGTGCTATTATTCTTTACGCATTTTAAAGTAAAAATACATACACTTATTACATCTGTTAATAATTCTTTAATAAATAATTAAGTGAATTAATTATGAATAAAAAACTAACGAAGGAATAAATTAGTAAGAAAGATTAATAATAATACAGCATTCTGACTTTTTATAGCAATGTCAAAATAATTTGTTAATTAAAAAAATAATAATACTTTAATTACGGAATGATAAGACGTACAAAAATTTAATATACATGATATTTTTATAACTTACGCTTT